AACCAAAAAAAAAAGAAAAAGAAAAGAAAACGCCCTTATGCTGTGATTGAGGGCGGGTACAGGATGCTACAACGTTGAGACAGTTACGTGCCACCCGTTAAATACGCCCTGCCTGGCTGGCAGGGCACTACAACGACACGGGAACAAACGTAAAAAAAAAAAAAAAAAGCAAACTCTTTCCACACATAGTGGCCAGATACATACCTCAAAGCACTGCTGCAACTTCCACCCTCATGAGGGTCTTCCCCGACGTCCCTGCATTCGGAACTCTGTTTTTTTCCCTTTGTTGTTTTTTCTTTTTTTTTCGTCTGCCTCCAACCCTGTCCCAAGCCCTTGTAAGGAGTAGGCTACCAGATGGACTTAGCGTTTGCCTGTGAAAGGTAGTGGTGGTTAAAAAAAAAAAAAAAAAAACTGAAGAAAAACATGTAGTATAATAGTAGATATTTAGCAAGATCAAAGCGGAACATTCGCTAACAGTAATGCATTGAAGAAGTCAATGAGCTGTAAACCCTAGGTGCTAACCTGAGCTTTGAACCCTTGACTTAAATCTTTAGACCATAATAAGCCCAATTCCTAAACCCCAAGTCCTGATCTCCAAGCCTCAAACTCCTACTCCTATGAGACCTTAACCGTGAACCCTAAACCCTAAACCTTTATCCGTGGTCCTGAAGCCAAGGACCTGAACTCAAAGCTGGATTCATGAGGCCTAATCCTTAAACCCTTAAACCCTTAACCCTTAAACCCTTAACCCTTAAACCCTTAACCTTAACCCTTAAACCCTTAACCCTTAAACCCTTAACCCTTAAACCCTTAACCCTTAACCCTTAAACCCTTAAACCCTTGAACCCTTGAACCCTTGAACCCTTATACCCTAAGCCTTGGAAACCCTAAGACCCAGCTTGAGCCCTTTTTTTTGGGGGGTGGGTGGGGGGGGAGAGGGGGGGAGATATCCTCTTAACCCTGGAGAGAAGGTTAACAGACCCCTAAATTTTCAGGAGGTTTTTCTCAGGGTCATTATAACAAACCTGTCACACCTTTTTGGACAGACTTGTCTGTCACCAGTCCATAGAGTGCAGCAGCTGAGCACTTGACCCCTCCACACAAGGCTTTGTGCTCTTCTTTTACCTGTGGAATTCTTTCTGTAGGTGTGTAGCATTGTGCCCCTAGTCAATCCAGTACATTATTATATATTCTTTTCTGTTTTGCATGTGATTATGCGTTTTTATCTTTATATGTTTCCATTGCTTAATGTTTCTGTGTTTTTAACTTTGTGTCCATCTTCATGTCTCCTCTTATGTTTTAGTGTTTCATTGAGCGGTCTTGGTCACCAGACTTAAACCACCACTACTTCCTAAAGTTGTGCCCATTAACAATCCACAATTTTAGGAAACGTACGGGCCACTACAGGAGCGACCAAATTCATCCAATTACAAACAATTCAGAAAATATGTGAACTGATCCTGCATGTTTTCGTGGAACGCGGACAGGATCTGGTGCACTATCCCATTCTCGCCCCTCTTCCATCATATGGTCAAGGGCGCGATAAACCTGGGCCGCGTTATGGGAGTCTACTCCATGGGGAGAATTTGACAGATGTTGTTATCACTGGTAAGTACTCAAGTTAGCTGAGTTCGACTATGCTTCTTCGCCTCCCTCCCTCCCTCCCTCCCACCTCCACCCCGCTCCCAAATCCCTCCGTCTCCCTCTCTCCCTCTCTCCCTCTCTCCCTCTCTCCCTCTCTCCCCTCTCTCCTCCGTCCCTCCCTCCCTCCCTCTCTGCATTCTTATTTATCACTATCTCAGTCTCTCCTCCTCGCCTGCGCCCAGCATCGCTTCGAAAAGTCCAATCACCGAAAGATTGCCTCACTGTCGTAATTGTTGTATTATTATTGTCATTATCATTACTGTATTAATACTAGTATTATTTTTATATTATTATCTCATTTTATTGTGATAATTAGTATAGACTACTAGTACACTGATGTAGTTCTGAATGGCAATAATGATCACACTAAAATGCAATACTAATATTTTTTTAAATATATAAAAGAAGCGCCGCAAATACTCTGATTCGAAACAACAACAACAACAACAAATACTCTGATTCAAAACCGCTTACACAGGCCTCTTTACGCAATTCGCTAAAGGAGGCGGGAAAGGAGAAGAAAGGGGGCAAACGGAAAGGGGGGGGGGGAATGCAGACCAACGGACTGGCCTAGCTCAGTTGGTACACCCCTCATGAACAGTTGAAATGCAGACCCAAGTTCGAATCCATATGCAATCAATCAGATGGAAAGGGGGAAAAAAAAAGAACGCACAATCAGATGGAAAGGGGGGGAAAAAAAGAAAGAACAGTAATTAGACGGACGACGAGGTTTTCTACTCCAAGTGAAGGGACAAAAAACCAAGTGCGAAGGAAAACGAGAGGCAAATACAGTACTTAGGCGAGCAACCAAAATGCTGTACATGCGCAATGAACTCTATGTAAGTATGTATGTATGTATATGTATGTATGTCTGTATGTATGTATGTATGGCGAGAAAACAGTGCGGGATAGCATATGAACATGATCGGTGGCCTTCATCAGCGGCGGCTTTTCTTCTCTTACGAACTTCAAGCGACACCGGGTGAGAGGGAGGGAGGGAGGGAGGAATGGAGGGAGGGAGGGAGGAATGGAGGGAGGGTGGGAGGGAGGGAGGGAGGGAGGGGAGGGAAGGACACGGTCTTCCCCTAAATGTGCTACCTCTCTTTCTCTCTCTCTCATCGTCCTCCTCCTCTCCTCCTCTCCTCCTCTTCTCCTTCTTTGTTGTCCCCCGGGTATTATGCGTCCGACCAACGAGAAACTGGAGTGGAGACGGTCTCTTCCTTAATTGAGGTTGAAGTTCCAAGAGCTCGCGAGCTGGAAGAAAACCCGCAACAATATGTTTGGTGTTTGGTGTTTGGTGTTCATTTTCTTCAAGCTGCAAACGACGGCATTCACATGCATTCACTGTTGGCGAGTGAATGTTGATGTGCTTTTTTCCTCCCCGTCCTTCGCTTATTATGGAGGGAGGATATCATGCTGGCGAGTGAATCGTTTGGAAGGGGGGAGCAGGGATGTGTGTGGAGGGAGGTGAGGGGGGTGGGCGGAGGGAGGGAGGGGAAGAGGAGGGGGGGGGGTTCGGGGAGGAAGGTAGAGAGGAAACGGCATTCTATAAATTTCCTCTCCTCGGTTGGCTTGGCTGTTGGTAGGTTAATGTGGTTTCTCCGCGCTTTTCCTCACTCGTTAGCCAGCTGGCAGGAACGCAAACGTACTCAACTCTTGATGACCATTTCTTGTCTTGGATTTATTTTATTTATTTATTTATTTATATAATCTCTTGGCGTTTTCAGTACCCGATATTTTCCTTTTCCTTCCTTTTTTTTCTCATGCTAATCTTCTCTTTCTTTGTATCATTCCAATTTCAACGGATGTCCCGGGGGACATAATAGGAACCAGGAAGGAAAATAATTAAAAAAAGGAAGGAAAATCATTAAAATAAAAGCAAGGAAAAAAAAGCAGGAAGGAAAATAATAAAAAAAGAAAACAGGAAGGAAAGTACATTAATACAAAAAGTAAAGAAAATATAAAAAAAAGGAAGGAAAATAATGAAAAAAGAAAACAGGGCGGAAAATAATGAGAAAAAAAGGAAGGAAAATAACGAGAAGAAAAAGGAAGGAAAATACTGAAAAAAAAAAAAAACAGTAATGAGAACATGGATGATATTCCTTCCTCTTGCTGCTGCTCAGACTCGTCGTGGTCCATCTTACCTGGATAGATTTTATGTATTTTCTTTTATCTGTCCACGTGGATAGCTTTTATTTTATTTCCTTTCCACGTGGCTAGATTTTATTTTATGTGTCCACGTGGCTGTTCCCGCGTTTTCTTTTTCCATGCTCTCGATTAGCATTTTGTACAGTCATCACATCACATTCTCTGTTTACAAAACAGAGCGAGCGCATTCTTACTTACTAGTACTTTTATTTCGTCCTCCCACTTATCAACCCTATCTCGCTTGCCCGTACTTCTACTCTCGGATCCCTGTACACAGGGCAGTTTCGTCTTCTTGCGTTCTTACCCCTGCCAGACGGCTGCAAATTTGCGCGCTGCTCCTATGCCCAGACGTCCAGCGCCCAACCGCTTGGGCAACTTCGCCGTACACCGAGAGCCACATGGGAAGTAGGACAAAATTGCTGCCCGGATTCCCATTCTATTCTATTGCAAACCCGCTACTTCTAGCTGTTGTGTTCTCTCTCTCTCTCTCTCTCTCTCTCTCTCTCTCTCTCTCTCTCTCTCTCTCTCTCTCTCTCTCTCTCTGTGTCTGCTTTTCACCGTCCTCTCTTTTCTGTCCTATCTACTCCCATCTTCCTACGCCTCAGAGACGCAGCAGGAACCCTGTCACAGAGCGGATGCCCTTCTCCCTCGCCATTCGCCCCATCTCCCATCTCCCATCTCCCACCTCTTCCTCCTCCTCCTTCCCCGGCATCGCTCCCATGTCCCACCTCCTTTCCCTCCATTCCTTCCCCTGCTTCGCCCCGTCAGCGTCCTTTGTCTTCTTAGATTAAACGTTCTGTCGTGCACTCCGTCTGCACACACATGGACACATCGCTGTATGTCTGTGTGTGTGTGTGTGTGTGTGTGTGTGTGTGTGTGTGAGAGAGAGAGAGAGAGAGAGAGAGAGAGAGAGAGTTTGCATCCGTCGGTTGCCTCCACCTTTTTACTGCATCACCTGTCGCGTTTGTTTATGCGAGCGAAGCCGCAACAGGTCATCTAGTATAGCAAAACACCCTTGTTTCTTGCGGTGGGCACTGGGCCCGTAACAAACCAGAAGGAGAGTTTGTTTGTTTGTTTGTTTGTTTTGTGGAAAAGAAAACTCGTTTACTGGATATAACAAAACACCCTGTTTCCTGACTTTAAGTCCTTGTGGGTGGTTTGTCATTTGTCGTTGTTGTGGCTTTGAACTGAAGGTTGCCGGCATGCCTGCCGATCTCTGATAAGGGGGTCCAGAGAGCGGTTGGGCTGATAATGCCTGACATGCTGAATTACTCGGCACTCGATTTAGCCAACCAACTTGGGCGATTGCATGACGGCTTGGCTGGATGGTCTCATCCTCTTCGAAGAGGCGGCCTTTGTTTGTGTGCCTGCCTGTTCATGGACTCTGGAAAAGAACGAAAAGCGAATGAGGGTACCTCATTCGATTCCTTTCTCCCTTTGTAAAGTGTGCCCCAATCATTTTTTCTCCCCTCTCTTGTGAGACTGGCCCGTCTGTCATTGGTCAGTTTAGGGGTGGTCCCCGTCTAGTTGTGGAATAGAAGAGGGCCTTAGGTATCACCGGGGGGTTGAAGGCGGTCGGATGGGAAGGGGGCAGGGTAGGAGGGTAGGGTGAGTGCGTCGGTTTTCTTCGCGGGGGTGGGAGAGAGGGGTTGGAAGTGGCTGGAAAGGGGCTGTTGCTTAAAGGGTACACATAAGGGAGATTTGATATTGTGCATAGCGCCTAGCAAATATGGCGCTGCAGCGCCCGCTTTACCGATCAAGAGCCGCTGTAGCTGCTCTTGATCGTCTCCTGTTTTCCGCTCCTGCGGGTCGCTGCAAAGTGGAGAATCGACAGTCGCTGCCTCGCCGAGTTGCCGAACTGACCGGACAAGATGGTGGCGATCGGACGCTGCAACGGGAATTGCAGTCGCGCCCTCTGCACAATAATGCTGTGAGTCCTTCGACTTCACCGGCTTGCGGCGCGCTCTCCAAACCAACGTCGTCATCAGATTCCTTTGGCTTTGACGGTGGCTTTGTAATGCGACTCATTCGTTCTGTTTCGGTGACGAGTTCTGCCAGAAGTCCCCTTGGTTGTCGGGTGTTCGGAAGCGGTCTGCAGCCTTTGACGACGACGGCCACCACCTCCCCGCACGGGGAGGTCCCTCCACTGAAGGTGTCTATCGAGTCTCTGAAAGATACCTCCATAGATGAGACAGAGGGGGAGAGCAGTGGCGGTGGTCCGGTTCCGAGTGGGGAGGAGCATGCGGATAACGAGGACGAGCCCGTTATACCGCCGGAGCAGCTTGCGGTGCGCCGGCAGGAGATCGGTGGGCCGACAGGTCCTGAACCGACACGCTACGGCGACTGGGAAAGAGGAGGGCGATGCAGTGACTTTTGAGTTGTCGTTTTGCCTTGCAATTTGTTGCGCTGTTGGCCCCCCCGCGATGGGGCTGGCTACCATGCAGTTGCAGCGTGCGTCTTGTATTGTTCATAACTTTTGACCTGTCGACATTTTCTCTTTCTGTTTTTTGTGTCCATGGCTGAGTTACGATGGCAGGTCGACGTCTCCGTTTCCATCTTTTTTCGAACTTCCTCTTGTTGGTAATGCTCTGCTAGGTTGAAGCTCCCCCCCCCCCCGCCCCCCAATACATCTGGAGAAACCAGATGGTAGGTGGTGTAGGTACGCTGGACCCGTTTTCCAGCAGTTGAAGCTCCCCCCCTCCCCCCCTCCCCCCCCACCACACACAATACATCTGGAGCAACCAGATGACTGGCTGGGTTGGGCTGCAGTCCTACCACTCTGCCCTCTAACGTCTTCACCCGAGTAGAACGCCGGGTCATTATAGCTGTATTTGGCACAACTTTCGGTCGAGATGCAGCGGTAATGACTGGGCATTCGGTAGCAGTTAGTTGGGCTCTTCAAGAAGGAAAAACACACAAAGGAAGGTATAATGGACCTGCCATGTGGTGTGGCACCATTGGCTATCTTTGTCGCCGAAAATCTCACATCGATGTGATGTGCAAATCGTGGCAACGCTAACTCGTTGCGGATCAGGTTCATGCCCAGCATGAAAGCCCCACTCAGAACACTGTGAATCGGATTCACATTCATTCAATGCTAGAAGAGCTGGTACATATGAGAAATCGTGAAACAGATGCGAAAATGAATTCGATGCTAAAGCTGGTAGACGGAATATGTATAACATCTGTGACAAACTGAAAATTGATAACATCAGTACATCTGGGCCTCATATGGAGGCGGCGGATTCCCCCCTTGGGCACCAAGAAGCTTTGCCGAAACGCCGGCACGTTGTTTTCGTTTGTTTTCGTTTTGGCTGGCGCCGCCAACCATTTGGGAGCGGCGCAATCGTGATTCCCAACTCAGTCACTGATTCTTCTACTGTGATAGTCGCTATGATCGACGATGCGAAAACCATGCTGCGCACTTGATGGCAGAAGAACATGCAGTGTGACCATGTCCTCACGGGCACAGGAAGGGTAGGTGTAAGTTCCGGCATCTAGTCCTTGTTTTGTTCATGGGCAAAGCAGAGAAGAGTGAGGTGCACCAGCTCACAGGAGAGGAAGAAGGAGAAGCAGTCAAGCACACACCACTCGGATGTCCTGCGGTCCCCAATGTCACGGTGTCTGAACTTCAAATGGAAAATAGAAAAAAAAAGTTATTGCTTCTCTATTTGAGACGAACGGGTCTGCGAGAGCATGAGAGTAGAATAAGAAGAAAAGAAAAAAGAAAGAAAGCAAGGGGAGGAAGAGGAAAGGTGTAGCTGCCTAGCCCAGTTGGTTAGGCACACAAGTGGCATTCAGGAGGTTGTGGGTTCGAGGCCCCCATGACCGCCTCTGGCGCACTTGGTGCCGACCAGCTGTGATAGTGGGCCTGATTCCTCCAATCGGTATTAGTTGTGTCTTTGGCCAACATGGGTGTGAGTGTGAGTGGGTTGCGTGTGGTGTGTGGAAAAGAGTGTTGGCCGTAGACACTGCTGCTATTCAATTGGGGGGTGGGGGGACGACGAATAGGAGGCACAGCTACTGGCAAAATGCTCGGCCTTTGCCGTAGCCGGACCCCCAACGGTGGCCCCACCCCATCTCCGCCCACCCCTCTTGGGGGGGGGGGGCAATATGAAAAATTCCTCCCAAGTTTGTCAGCCCCCTATGCTTGCAGGGCCCCCCTCTGTATTGTCTTAGGAGTCGTGGTAATTGGGTGGTGAAAAGCACAGAAGAATTTGAGAGAGGAATATAATGTGAAAAAAAATAAAAAAATGATAAGAGGAAAGGGGCAAGAGGTGAAGTGAAACTATTAAAGAAGGCGTGAAACTTCACCACCAGCTCGATTCGGTGGCCACTGAATTGTCGAAGTGGCCTCCCGAGCCTGAAAACGTCAGGCATACAAGGTTGCAGCGACTCTGTTCGACATGGTGTGAGTATTCTTTTTCTGAGCTTCCCCCCGACCCCTAACATTTCTCCTACAGCAGGAGTTAAGCGTGCAGCCCTGATTTTTTTTTCTGAGCTTGGACTGGAGGCATCCTCCGACAACCCTGATTTTTTTTTTTTTTTTTCTGGATGTTTTTCATAAAGGGAAATGGCACTTAAAAACTGCCGAAGTTGGGATACTGGGAGGGAATTTGGACATCCCTTTTTGCGTGCCTCATTTTCTGCCCCCCATGGACCGACTCTCTGCTTGTGTGCCCCCCATTTTCTGCCCCCGGTGGACCGACCCTCTGCTTGTGTGCCTCATTTTCTGCCCCCCTGTGTACCGACCCTCTGCTTCTATCCAGCCGCATGCTTTTGCAAGAGGGGAGGAACTCACACTGGTGGCTTGGAATTTGAATCTGAATGCAGGTGTGAAAGGTGTCTCTTTTGTTTCGCTTTGTTTTTCAGGTGCGAAAGGTGTTTCTTTCGTTTGCTTTGTTTTGCAGGCAGCGGCCTTGACTGGTGCCCCTCTGATGATTCACAAATGGATTGCTTTATTTTTCTCTGTTTCTTAAACTTTTTTTTTAATGTTTAACCTCTGCAACCCTTTTCTTCGAATTTCCTTTTTAAGCACTGATTTGGGAAAGGAATGCATTCAACCCTGTTGGACTACAAGACCCCATGTCTCTAATCTAATTTGCTGTCGGCAAATGCAGGTGTGAAAGCTCTTCCCTTTTTCCTTGCTTTTCCGGCTGAATAAAAGGTGTCTGTCTTTTCCTGGCCTTTGGGAACTGAGTGCGGCAATCTGCATGCAGGCGATGGTAGTGCAGGAGGCGGTGTGGGCGAAAACAAGAAGCGAACGAAGCAGTCGCGGATTAAATGAAAAGTAGCCAGAGAATAAATAAGGCAGGCAAGCAAAGCAAACAAAGCGAACAAACACGGAGCAAGGGCGAACGTGAAACGCACGAAGCAGTCGAAAAAAAAAAAGTAGCCAGAGAATGAAAAAAGGCAAACAAACAGACGATGGTGAGATCGCAACCAAATCTACGGACTCTTCAATTTTGTTTCATTCGCTTCTTGTTTTTGGCCACACCGCCTCCTGCACTACCAGGCGGCGGTGTGGGCGAAAACAAGCAGTGGATGAAGCAGTCGTGGATTGAAAGAAAACTAGCCGGAGAATGAACAAGGCAGGCAAACAAAGCGAACAAACACGGAGTGTGCTCGAAAGAAAGTATCCAGATAATAAAAAAGGTAGGCAAACAAAGGGAACAAATAGAACAAACAAGGAGTGTGCGCTAACACGAAGCGCACGAAGCAGGCGAAAGAGAAGTAGCCAGAGAATAAAAGGGGCAGGCAAATAAAGCGAACAAACATGGAGTGTGCGCTAACACGAAGCGCACGAAGCAGTCGAAAGGAAAAGTAGCCAGAGAATTAAAAAGGGGCAAGCAAACAGGTGATGAACCAATGGTAGTGCAGGAGGCCGTGCGGGCAAACACAAGAAGCGAATGAAGCAGTCGAAGGAAAATTAGCCAGAGAATAAAAATGAAGCCAGCAACGCGAACAAACACGGAGTGTGAACAAGAAAAGCGAACGAAGCAGTTGAAAGAAAAATAGCCAGAGAATATGTAAGGCACGCAAACAAAGCAACGAAAAAGCGCACAAACTGGGCCGAAGGAAGAAACCAAGGATGTCCGTTGGGACATCCTCTGAGCTTGGCATGATACAAAGAAGATCGAGAAGTGGTCCAAATGGTAAATGAAAAAGAAACGATAAGTAAACATGGAGGTACATAGATCATAAATCAACGGATCTGGCCGGATGTCACAAGAAAGGTAGAGGCATTACCAGAGCAGGGGTGTGCAAATGGCATGTACTGTTGTTTGTCCCTCTTGAAGGCAACTCCAGGCAATATGTAAGGTCTTCCTGAGTTGGTCTTCTTGGCTTTTTTGTTCCCCCCCCCCCCCCCCCTCCCTGCTGTTTGTCTACCGGCCATCGCTTTTGGGCTGCTAAGTCCTTCGATGGGATAATAGCCACTGATCTTTCGTCCACCATAAAGGAACTCAATGACTGTTAGTGCACGAGTTTCGACGGACCTGATGGCTGCGCCTATGACGTTCCATGAATTGATTGAAGTCTCTTTCTGCCAAGGCGGAAAAGAAGTGCACACCAAACTTTGCCGAAGCGCCAGTGTGCGATTTGTTTTTGTTTTGGCGGTCGAGTTTGCCTGTGAAAGGTCTTGGTGGGCTTAAAGAAAGAAAGAAAAGAGTTAGATATACCATGAACAAGGGCAGTGGTTCACTTTAGCTCTGATGAGAAATATCTTTTTTTTTTTTTATTCTTTTAAACAACCTACTATGGCCAATTCTCAGGTGGGGATCAGTGCCCAAGTCTGATGGGAGGTCTGTGCTTGTGGTGGCTCTGATGTTATTTCGACTTATTTGTTATTTGTGGGGAGCGACATGTGCTGGGAACCGGGCACAGCGTCCCTATTACAATTGTGATGCAAATTCCTCGCGTCCGTCCATGCTTGGGGCCTGCATTGGTTGCCCTCCCGTGTCACAAAGGGGATTGACAGGCAGGGCCTTCTCATAATGCCATGACCGCCTGACCCAGGCCCCTGTTCCGGGATCAGGAGGGAGAAGCATCGTTGTACCAAATCCGTCCTCTCTTTCCATTCTCGGAGGTGGGTTTTGATCGCCCTGCTGTGCTGTAGGGGATTAAACCACCACTCTACCTGCCACCGGAAAAAATGGCATTCCGGTGAGTTCGGAGCGGGTCTTTAGGGGGGGGCGGTGACCGGGAGGTGCAGGTGGGTCCAGTCCCGCAATATTCACTCACCGACTTCGGAATTTTTTTGCGCTCAGAAAAATAAGGGAAAGAATGTGAAGAATTGAGATCTTGTAGATGAGGTCGTGAATCGTGATCTTTATGGGAAAAATATCAGAGAGAAAAAAAAAGGATCTTTTAGACCATGGAATAAATGCGGCGTAAATTCGTCACATTTTTCATTTGCCACTCCAATGTGTGGGCCAAGGAAAACGTACCCTAACTTCTGTGATTTTTCGCGCTGAGAAGAATGCCTGGCAAACCCTGAAAATTGAAGAGTCTGTAGATTCGGTTGCGATCTTTCCACAACAAATAATTTTAAAGATGTTAGAAAAGTTTTGGTCGGTGAAATAAATGCCGTGCCGATTTGTCTCATTCTTGATTTTTGCCACTCCACTACTTGTGGGCCAACGGGAAACGTACCCCAATTTCAGCGATTTTTTCACGGTCAGAAGAATTCATTAAAAAATCTGAAAATTCAAAATTGGAGGGTCTGTAGATTTGGTCGTGATTGTCCGGGAAAAAATTAAAAAAATAGAAAAGAATTGTTTTCACCACGAACTAAGTGGTGGCGGCAATTTGTCCGATTTTTAATTTTGGGGCCTCTACCGGGTCTTCACACTATACTATCGGTAGCCCTCGTGAACATGTGCTACCGGTCCCCCGACTTTCACAATGTCGGGTGGGATCGGAGTGGTGGTTTAAGCGGCCCCTTCGCAATGCCGTGTTCACTCCCGGTCCCTGTCCCAGGACCAGCTGGGAGGAACACTGTCGCTCGCCACTTGTAGACTGTTGAGCCGCACTTCCGTGGTCGCATTGGTCGTTCGCCCTGCTTTGCTGGCCTCTGGGGGAGAGGATGGTGGGGGGAAAGGCGGTGAGGGGGGAGTCTGGCAGTGGTCAGCGAGGCACGGCAGGAAGAAGACTTGGTGGG